AAGGAAGGAAGGAAGGAAGGAAGGAAGGAAGGAAGGAGGGAGGGAAGAAGGACGGAGGTAGGAAAGAGTTAATTGGTACCATCTCCAAGCTTTTAGACTCTCCAGTAGAGAAAAGTCTGGATCAGTCAGGAGACCATGGATGCTACAACAGAGTGTCTCCACAGGCAAATAAGAAATGAGAAAATTTTCTCTACCTTTTTGTACAATCATTGTTTATGCTCTCTTAACGTTTGAATATAACATGTCCCGAACAGGTTAATGTTTTAAAGATTTTGTCCCTAACTGGCAGCACTATCTTAGAAAGGAGGTTGTAGAAACTATGAGCTGAAGCCTACTTGGGGAAATTAGGTCATGGGGATGAGTCCTTGGAGTTTTGTCTTGTCCAGAGCTCCTACTTCTGGTTCCTTTGCCACACACTCCTGCTCAACAGCATGAGGCTAAGTGATCATGAACACAGTCCTCTGAGACTCCAAGCTGAAATAAATCTCCCCTTCAGACTGTTCTCTCAGATATTTTGCCACAGCTGTGCCAGAGTAATTAATATATGGCTAGTCAGGGCTGTCCTTGTCACTGTCCCAGGGATTAGTGTCCTCGGGAAAATTCCCTCCCACTTTTAAGAGATTGCTTCAGTTTTGTCTTTTTCATTTTTCTTAGGCTATGTTAGTCAACTGTATAAATTTTTCATCCAGAAGACTCCAAACATAACCTTGCCGTTATATTATTTAAACTAACCCAAGACCATGATGTGTCAAGATGGGATATTATTTTCTTAGGTGCTTTAGGGGAACCTAGGTCTCTTTGTCATAGTCCTTACTGACCACAGACCTGTAGGTGGATAAGGTGAAGAAAGTCTTGTCTACTGCTAGCTAGTGCCATAGAAATGTTAGAAAGTGTGTGGAGAAATTGGATTTAACATGGTTTCTTTGATCATACAGTAAAACTCATTAATTTGGCATCACCCAGAATCAAGAAAGGCTCAGATAGTTTTACCTGGCACTGTGAGCAGTGGATTTTTATAAGATGAAGCCAGATGTGAAGTAGAGAACTCACAGGATTGGCTACAACAGGGCATCTGACTTTGGGGGCCATGGTGTTATGGAGCATTTCTCTGGTTTGAGTATGATATCATAAGTTGTGTAGATGTGATTCCTTAAACCTTGCTGCTTATGATTGGCTAAAACTCGGTCACATTATATTCCCCAGTTAGACTGTGGTTTGTTTATATACTAAGCTAACCTAGCATTTATTAGGTAGGAACTAAAAATATGAAGAAAGCCTGAGGCTAACAGTCTCTTGCTTGTTTACTTAAAAGAAATAAGCAGGGGCTGTTGAGATGGTTGATCAGGTAAAAGTACTAGTTATAGAAGCCTACTAATCTGAGTCTGACCCCCAGATTGTAAGTTAAAGTAGAAAGAGATTGATGTATAATACCAGACAGACACTCATGTACACACACACACACACACACACACACACACACACACACACACACACACACATTCATGTACTACTACTAATAATAATAAATTTAAAATAAAGAAAAGAGATAAGCAAATAAGTCCATTGATGAGGTATCCGAAGGAAATTTTTCTTATAGGTTTAGTGTTCCCTTTAAGTCCTCCTGGGACACAAAGAGATCAGGATTATTTCTATAGAAATGAATGAAGCTCCCCACAGGAATGATTCACAGATCACACCACTTGCTTGGGCTATACCATCACCTTCAATGCAGGCTGCCCTTACAGGCTATGCTCAGATCTTAGAATGAGAATAAAAGTCAAGTCTGACTTTGTGTTGCCTGACATCCCCTGCAGCTGTTGATTTAAATGATGTTAGGTTTCAAATGGAAGCAAGAGAGAATGGTGCAGAAGTTCCACCTTCTTAATACCCAGAGCTCCCAGGTAGGAAGCTGATTTAACTGAGTCCCTGAGCAAATACATGTTTGCATTTTTGTTTGTTTTTTTGTAGCAAGATTTCTTGTTGGACTATCTTGGACTGCCAGCCCACAAAAGTTTGGCCTTACTTAGTCTTTTCCCCAGCTAGCTCTTTAAGTTAATTAGCCCATTTTTTTGTTTGTTTCTTTGTTTGTTGTTGTTTATATGGTTTCCTGTGTAGCTTTAGAACCTGTCCTGGAACTAGTTCTTGTAGACCAAGCTGGTCTCGAACTCTCAGGGATCTGCCTGCCTCTGCCTACCAAGTGCTGGGATTAAAGGCATGCGCCACCACCTCTTGGCCTCCATATATATTTTTAAAAATCTACATTCTGCCATGTGGCTCAGTTACCTCTTCTTAGAGTGCTACACCCAATTTGATCCAAGTCTTTTGGGCAAATTAAATCCTTCTCCCACTTTCTATCTTTCTGCCTGAAGTCCAGTATATTCTTTCCTGCCTAGCTATTGACCACTTAGCTCTTTATTAAACCAATAAGAAGGTACCTTAGGCAGACCTTTACAAAGAGACACATCTTTACAACGTAAACAAATATTCTGCGACAGTTGTTGAGCTCTGATCGTACTCTGTAGCCCCCGCTGGTCTTGAACTCATGATCATACTGCCTCAGCTTGCCCAGGGCTAGGATTAAAGGAGTACATCCACATACATGCAAAAATGTTATTTTTATATTTAAGGCCTTTTTCTTTTATAGGGCAGGCATGTTAAGATAGGCTCTTTTGATGTATTCTAGACTAGCCTTGTACTCACAATATGCATAGCGACTTGAATGAGAAGTGCCTCCCTTAGTCTTGGGTATTTGAACACTTGGTCCTGAGTCAATACCTCTGATTAAGAAGGCTTAGGTGTTGTGGCCTTCTTGGAGGAAATATGTCACTTGAGATAGGTTTTGACGGTAAATAACCTTGCCTGTTTCTAGTTTGCTCTCTCAGCTTCATGCTTGTGATGGATAAAGATCCAAGTTCTTAACTTCCTGTTCCTGCTTCCATGCCCGCCACTTGCTGTCATAGCTTCCTGCCATAGCATACTCAAGCCCAAATAAACTTTTCCATGACTTGTTCTTGGTCATTGTCCTGGTTAGTCATGTTTTTCGACCAGACACTAGCCAGGATCACTGGGCAAGAGGAACTTGAATTGAAAAAATGCCTCCCTTAGATTGGCCAGTCTGTGGGGGCAATTTTTTGATTAATGATTGATGTGGGAGGGCCAAACCAATGATGAATGGTGAAATTCCTGGGCAGGTGGTCCTGGGTTGTGTAAGAAAGAAGGCTGAACAAGCCATTAGGAACAAGCCATGTCCTTCCATGGTCTCTGCTTCAGTTCCTGTTGCCAGGTTCCTGCTTGAGTTCCTGACTTGACATCCCTTCATGGTAGACTACATCCATAAACTGGAATAGACCCTTTGTTCCCTTAGTTGCTTTTTGGACACGTGTTAATCACAGCACTAGCAATGCAAATAGTGTGCTCATTGTATTTTCTCACAGTAACAGAAAACTAATATGGTTTTGAACTTATGCCAGGCTTCCTCCCACCCTGCCCCAATACTAATATTGAACCTAGGCTTCATTTATGCTAGGTAAGAGCTCTGGGACTCAGTTACATAGCCAGTGTTTAGTATCTTCCTTAAGGATAAAGCCCGAAAACACCCATAGGAACTACAAAAAAGAACTAGCTACTCCCTCCCCCCTCTCCCAGTTCTTTAGCCTAAAGTCTGAATACTATGGTTATGTTTAGCATTTAACCTAGAAAAAATAAGTTATATCATGAGCAAGCTTAAGAATTTTATCGAATGCTACAATGGTCAATTACAATGCTCAAAATACTAGACATTGCTTTAGTTAATCTAGAAACAATCTTGTCTTAAACTCTGCCTTAAGTGGGAATACAATAAACTGAGACTTTGGTACTTTCATACACTCATTCCTGTCTGCTCTAAGACCCACACGTGTTTTTTGTTTGTTTGTTTTAATGCTGAGTATGGGAATCATATTCCTGCCCCTTTTGCTCTTATACTAAGTATGTTCCATTTCTTGATTTTTCTTGTTGGTGCTTCCAAGGAGCCTATGTTTTCTCTTCTGACCTAGCATGGTTGTTGGGGGGAGGTCTTCTGCTTTATGGCAAACTGGCAAACAAAGAAAATGGGTATAATGGAGACAGTGAGAAAAGACTGGGGATTTGGGGTGTAAGAAAGGTAACTTGAGTGTCTTGGCTGCTGCAGCACAGCTACTTTCATAGGTTCCTGCCCTGCCTGGCTGCAGCTGAGCCACTGGCCTCCAACTTCTCTTAATTGGATACTTCCAACCCAACCTGATTGCCCAAAAGTCCTAGTCAACACTGGAAGACCCTTCTCTTACCTAGTGCTTCCTTTTAATTATTGGAAATAATAAATCTTTACTTATTTTCACATTAAATTCTATGTGATAAAATTATAAGTTAAACAGTCTTTTGTGGGTTTGTGGTTAATCTTGGAATTCATCACTACCTGCTATTTATTTATTTTATTGCATGCTGAGAATTGAACCAAGGGTTTTGTGCATTCTAAAAATGTGTTGTAGCCACTTGCCATCAAAGACAATTTTTAAGTGAAAAAAATATATGGGACCCCAAAGAAATGTATTCCAAATGGAGTTGGAAGTAACTTATGGAGTTCAAGAAGAGTTTTCTGCCTTTATAATGTTTGAGTCAACAAGAAAGGGTAAAAGTAATGTGAAACAATGTATTTTAGAATACTCTACAGTTGATAGCATCTCACTTATGAACCTTACTCATTTAAGTTATTCCACAACCCTGAAAGAAAGCTACAGTAATGCCTGGAAAATGCAATACAGTAATGAAGTTCCACACAGTTCTAATAGGTTTTGTGAAGCCTTTTTAATCACATACATTGCTTGTGTGGCACTGTTTTCCCAAGAGTCTCTAAAATGCTGATCTACTATTGACTCGAATTTCAATAAATCAATGGTTCATCTGTCTTGATAGTCAATCATTTTTTGTTGATGTTTTCTGGCTTCCAACAGCAACTTTTTCATCTATGTACACCATAGTTGGTACTGAATGAGAATGTCTTGTAGCCAACAGGGATGTCTGATGAGTATAAGTGAGATAAGCCAAGAATGGGCTAGAAAGATGGCTAAACCATTAAAAGCTAGGCTCACAACCAAAACTAAGTCATAAATAAATCTCTGTTGTTGCTAATTCCCTAATTCCATCCTTATGCTAGCTAAGAATGTTGAATGATCTCAAACAGACCACTGCTGATTGTGTACTTCATCCATCAGAACATTAATAATCACTTAAGAATTTCTTCTATGATCTTGGAACTCAGTTCTTCTTGCTTTTAAATATTTATGTGTATACGATTCTTTGGGTCATTGGCTTTCCAGCTTACCAGGTTATCTAGTGGGGTTATGTTGTTTAGTTTACGTATTTCAAATATATTTTTCAGAGGCTTTGAGTCACTCTTGATGGGTAAGGTAGTTAATTTGCGTGTGGCTGATGGCTTTGTTTTGGAAAATGTTCTTTCAAATTCATCTATCTCATCACTCTTTTCTTGAGTAGCATCTTTATCAAAGTAACCCACAAATTTTTTGGTTATGCTGGACAAAGTTCGGGATAAGTTATAAAGTGTGCTCGGGCATCTGTTTTTGGAAACTAGACTGTCCTGTTTCTTCTTTCGTTTCTCATTTATTCTCTCTTGCACCAGTTGAGAAGAGAAGATGAGCAAATCTTTGTACTTCGATACAGGCTTAGGGCTTTGAGGATTAGAAACATATGAGGATTGATTATTAAATAACTCTTTCAACATTTCCAAGTTTTTTTCTAGAACAACATTCTTTGTTGTATATGTCATCATATAGGGGGTGAACCTTTTTGCCAGGAACAACATTTCTATATATGCTGTGTCATGGAAAATTATCGGATTTGTATGGCTTTCTTCCTGTATAGAAAAAAAGAACACTGAGTCATAAGCCTGTTGAGGCAAAGCTATATATGTATTTTAAGCATAAAAATAAATTTGTAAAATATATTAAATGACTACATAGAGGTACATGATATCAACAAGAATAACATTCAAATACATTAAAAACAGATGCTTTTCTGTGACACTCTTCCTTTTCAAAATTTGAAGACTTAGCCTTCTTATATCCTTTCTGAAACAAGGTGAGGTATACAGAAGTAAGTAATTTCTTGAGGCATTGGAAATTGAGAGAGGAGGTTTAGTAAGAAGGAACACTGTGGGCATTTTCTAAATGCCCATGCTCTAGAAATAAAAGGAATAAACCCCTAAATTAGGCTGAGTCAAAAATCCTAAGAGACATAATGAATAAAAGCCCAAATGAACATGCATGGCTATTCCAATTTAAAAAATTTGAATTATGTCTATTATTGAGATGTATAGAATTGTACTTTAGGACTTACTACAATGCTTGGTAAAAGTGTCTAATATATATTTGAATAAAGTAGCGCAAGTAATAGATATAGATATAAAAATAGAACTTGCTTAATTATAGTAATAGAAAAATCTTTAAAAGTATTTTTAATTACTACCCTCACATTGGCATAATTAATTTTCACAGTCCCTAATTCTTTCACTAGGTTAAAAAAATCAATTCCATGGAATCTAGTAAAATATGTATATTTCCAGTATTTGCTTTGTAAATCTCAAGTCAATAATTTCTACATTAAAAATAAATAGTAAAGGTTTATTTCTCACATCTTTGAGGACAAGAAAGTTCAGATTTGAAGATGGAATGGGTTTGGTGTCTGGTCTACCCTTTATAGCTGGCACTGTCTTCATGTCCTGTACAGGAAATAAAAAGGCAAAAACAGCCCAGTCAGTTCCCTGGAGTCCTTTGTAAGCATATGGGCCTTTTCCTGAGAGTTGCTGTAATCACCTCATAAAAGCCTCTCTTCTTATGACTATTTCACCAGCTCTTAAAACCCAGCAGCCATACCTGGCATGGAAAATTCTGTGTCTCTACCTGGCCACTGGGAAAGTGGACTGTGCCTACTGATTTCTTAGATGAAGAAGACTTAGGACAAGAAGAAGCCAGGGAGGGGCCAGAGATAGATGGTGGTGGTGGAAGCCGGCACAAAGGGTTGGCTAGGTACCATCATAGGATGTCTGGACTAGGAGAGGACCTCTCAACTGAGGCAGAGCTTCTCTCTTCCACAGTAAACTCTGACATTTGCTGTCTTGGGCCTAGAGCTCCATTCAGCTGAATGAGTGGAACCACAACTGGTCCCTCAGCTTGAGGTCCCTTAGACATTGAGCAGGTCAGTATCTTGTGCTAGCTATCTGGGATGTCTCTATGTAGAATAAATTAAGACAGGAACAGAGTAGGTACCAAGGGCAGTGATGCTGAATGAGCCCTGGACAGCAAACCAGGGGTGATCTTTCCCAGGACAAAATCTGAAATTAGACTGATGGCATACAAGTGTTCTTGGCATGAAATGTATCCCAATGGCTGCCTGAAAAGATGACCAGAGAACCAGTTTTATTACCCTTTGATGATAAAAAGAAATAATGCCAACTTAACCACAATAGTGGCCTTTGCATTGGTTTTGGTTTATCTAATACTGTAGGGAATTCCCACCCTATAAGTCAGTGGTTCTCAACCTTCCAAATGCTTTGCTAACCTTTAATAAATACTATTCCTCCTGTTATGGTGATTTCCGAGCACAAATTATTTCGTTGCTACTTCATAACTAATTTTGCTATTGTTATGAATAATAATGTAAATATCTGTTATGCAGGATATCTGATATGTGACCCCAAAGGAGCTGCAACCCACAGGTTGAGAACCACTGCTGTAAGTCTGTGCATTGTCAGCTAGAAACTATTTTCTTTAGCCCTCCTGGCATTAGAGTATGGGACTTAGGCTCTGCTAATTAGATCACCTATACAGTTTAGAAGGCGTTACCATGAAAAGCTAGGGAGGGATTGTGGGGGAAAACTAGTCTGATTATGATTGCAGAAGCCATAGAGGTCTTAGAAAGTGTTCCTTCTCCCCAGCATCAAAGTTGCTAGTTATAACCTGTGACTGTAGGATAGACTCAACAAAGCAGAGTGGGTTGTATTTGGATGATTCCTACAAGATAGAATTCGAGTCCCATTGTCTCTAGCCTTCCCAGAGGCTTGTGGGATTCATTCTTACTGACTACTAGTAGACATTACCATAAAATAAAGCACTCTGTCTGTTGGACCAAGGTCAATTATCTTGATTTCGGGATTTTTCAGTACATCCTCAATGTGCAAGGGAAGAAAGACGTTCTGGTTTACTGGACAAGGTGTTCTTGCTTGCTTATCTCTGTCTGACTTCTTTTCTTTTGTAATCAAATTGTTTACCCATGGATGATATTTCCTCCTGAAAATGAATATAGTTTAGACATCAGTTTATAGGAGGTGATTTTAGCTAATAAATTCTTCTCTCCCTCTCGAAGTCACTGCCAACAGCCCCACTGATCCAGTAGACATCAAGCAACCCCATAAGGCCATCCCTCCCTGCCTGGTTTGTGGAAGAAGTAGCAGGAGCAGAGGAAACCCAACAATTGCCTGAGTGCCTGTTGATTTTGAGTGGGGAGCCTGCTGTGTAGGCTGTGTAGAGCACTGTGGGAAGACAAGCATCTGACACAGCCTTTGGTTGGCTTTGGGTTTTTTGTTTTGTTTTGGTTTTGGTTTTTCAATACAGGATTTCTCTGTGTAGCTTTGTAGACCAGGCTGACCTCAAACTCACAGAGATACGCCTGCCTCTTGCCTCCTGAGTGCTGGGATTAAATGTATGCACCACCACCACCCTGGTCTGGTCAGGCTTTTTTAACAGGTTAGTTTAAGAGGATGCAACAGGGTGCACATGAACAAAGAGAAAAGGAGTTTTTATCTTTGATCCCCTTTGATTTACATGGGAAGCGGGCTTGTCATTATAGGCTTTTGAGATAACCCATAGCACCAATCTGGCAAAGATGAGGTAGATAGCCTTATTCCCAGAGGGCAAGGATGGAGGAGATTGCAGAGCCTCAGAGATCCTGTCCTATCTGTGAGTCCTCAAAGTGGACCCTGACCAACTTCATGGAGAACTGATCATGAGCTCAAGAGCCACAGATGATTATCAGTATGAGAGATTTGGCTCTGACCCTCGTCCAGTACCTTGATTTCCTTCTCCCAAAATTCATCAAGGGCCTCACTCATGCATACTCCACAGATACCATCTTGGAAAGAAACAGGAGGGCAAGTTAAGCCCAAAGAGCCCATCCATCATTGCTCCGAAGTTTCAAGTAAGACTTCTGCTCCATTATGTAGATGATGATGATAAGACTGTAGACATCATACAAAACAATAAAGTAACCACTTTTTTTCACCTTCATGTGCAAGCATAACTAAATTGGTGCCCACTGTAAAAACATAGTTATATTCTGACTTCACTTGATTGTGCCCAGGTCCAGATGAGATGCCCATTAGCTGACCAGCCTGGGAGTCCTCTGTTGATGGTACCATGAGAGTATATATTAATAATAAGCCAGAAAAAATAATCATTCTTCTGTATAACACAAGGCAGAACTTGTTCTACTAAAGTCATCATTGAACAGTGTGAATTATTAACGTTTTTAAAATAGATTACCCGTTTTCAATAGAATCTGCTGAGTGGTCTGTGGAATGCATGGACTTCTTAGCTCTCCTTTCATTTTGACCTGAAATTACAGATTTTCGTAAAAGATGAGTAAGTGTTATCTAGAAAATATCTTTATGAAATATCTTATAGTTTAAAATACCATAGGAAAATCTGGTGTAGTGGTAAATCTGCAGTAGCTTGTTGACACTTTTTTTTGTTTGTATGCTTACATGTGTGTGTGTTATGATAATGACTACGGAGGCCCAGAGATGTCAGATCCACTTAAAGCTGGAGTTGTTACAGGTAATTGTGAGTTGCCTGATGTGGGTGTTGGCAATCAAAATCAAATCAGTAAGTGTTCTTACCACTGAGCCATTTTGCCATCCATAAATCTTGAGAGAACAAGGTAGAAGAAAAGATAGATCACGACTTCAGTGTTCAGTTAAGACACTGCAAAGAATTAGAGAGTTTTCTTGCAGAAAAGATTTTGTTGTTATTGTTTTTGTTTTTTATTTTTTGTTTGTTTTTTATTTTTATTTTTATTTTTTTATGTTTTTGATACAGGGTCTCATATGGCCAAGGCTGCTCCTAAATTCACTATATAGTTGAGGATAGCCTTGAGCTTCTGATGGTTTTGCCTCTACTTCCCAAATGCTAGAATCACAGACATGTACTAGCATACCTGGTTTATGCAGTGCAGGGGATCCCAGGGCTTCATGCAGGCTAGGCAAATGCTTTACTAAGTGAGCTGTATCTCCAGCCCAGAAAAGGGTGTTTTAAGTTTTTCTACTATATCAAGTCACATAACCAGTAGGAGGTCTGGGATAGTCAAACATGTTGGTATGGAGAGAAGTCACTTAGCAGTTAACAAATAGATCTTACCACCTGACATGAGGAAGTCTTCAAGGCTGAATTCTTCAAGGTGTACCTTGTGGCCACTTCAGAATTTTATTGCCTTTTTAAATGAATCCAGATAATACTGTCTTAGTAACTGTTCTATTGCTGTAAAGACACACCATGACCAAGACAACTCATAAAAGAAAGCATCTAAGTGGGGGTCTTGCTTATAGTTTCAGAGGGTTAGTACATAATGAAGGCAGAAAACAGACAGGCATGGTGTTGGTGCTGTAGCTGACAGCTGCATCCTGATTGGCAAGCATCAGGCAGAGACACTGGTACTGGTATAGGCTGTTGAAACTTCAAACACTACCCTTAGTAGTGATACACCAACTCCAACAAAGCCATGTCTCCTAATCTTTTCCAAGCAGTTCTTTAATTGGGGACTAAGCATGCAAATACATTAGCCTATTGGAGCCATTCTCAATCAAACCACCACATTCTACTCCCTGGCCATATCATAATGTAAAATTTATTCAGTCCAACTTCAAAAATCCCCATGGTCTTTCACTCTCAAGACTGCTTAAAAGTCCAAAGTCCCTTCTGAGACTCATGGAAATCTCTTAACTGTATTCTCCTGCAAAATTAAAATAAAAAAAGCAGCACATGTATTTCCAATATACAATGGCACAGAATATATATTACCATTCCAAGAAGGAGGCAAGGGGGCATAATGAGAAAATACTGGGCCAAAGCAAGATTGGAACCCAGCTGGGCAAACTCCAAATTCTGCATCTCTATGTCTGATGTCAAAGCACTCTTTGAATCTCCAACTCCTTTAGGCCTTGTTGACTGCAACATACTTCCTTCTCTTGGGTTGTTTCCACTCCCTGTTAGCAGCTCTTCTCAGCAGGTATTCCACAGCTCTGACATCTCCAACATCTTGGGGTCTCCAATGCAATCCAAGCCTCACCTACACAGCTCCATGCAATGGCCTTTCTGGGCATCCATGCAGGGATTGCCCTGTCAGACTCCTTGCCTCAGTGATAATCCTTAACAGTGGTGGAAGATTCCATAACCCCTACACCTTTGGCTTTAAGTCAGAACCTCTTGGCTGCAGCTGCCAAGTTCTAACACTTGCTGGGCCTAGAACCTGGGGCATCCCACCCAGCCCCCAGCATTTATATTTACATAAACTTGGACTTGTTGATGGTTTATTGACTTTTTAAACTAGTATCTGGAGGTGATAGATTGATGGTTCAGTGAATCAGTACTTACTTGAGGACAGCAGTTCAGAAATCCTGTTTGTAATTCTACCACTGGGAAGGTGGCGATGGATCCCCAGAGCAAGCTTGCTAGCTAAACCAGCCATATTGGTAAGCCTCAAATTTAACTGAAAAGTCCTATCTCAATGAATAAGGTGGAAAGTGGTTGTATAGCACTCCTGACATCAACTTCAGGCTTCCAAACACACACACACACACACACACACACACACACACACACACACACACACACACACACCATACACTCCAAAAGCTAATATTTTAAAATTAAATTTTGTTAGTATTTGTTGTATTTGTACAAGTTCTTTTCTCAGCTATTTTGACAATTACAATTTTGGTATCTTAGACTTGTGTAGTGTTGGTTTTTTGTTTTCTTTTTAACTTTAAAAATATTTGTTTATGGGTATTTTGCCTGTATGTATGTCTGTGCACTATGTTCATGCCTGGTGCCTGCAAAGGCCAGGAGGAGGCATAGGATCCTTGGGACTGACTGACAGTGCTGAGCAGCATATGGATGTTGAGAATTGAACCTGGGTCTTCTGGAAGAGTAGCCAGTGGTCATAACTACTACGCCATCTCTCCAGTCCTTTAACTGTAATTTAAATAATTGTACTAGATCTTTGAAAATTTCATACAACATGTTTTGATCACATTCACCTCTCCTCCAGCACTTCCCAGATCCACTCCCATCCCCCCATTTTTGGAACCCATCAAGATCAAGTAGTGCTTCCCACATGTTCTTGGATGTGTGGTATTCACTGGAGTGTGGTCAACTTATCAGAGCTTACACTCAGAGAAAAGTGGTTCTTTCCCTCCCAGAAGTTATCAGTTGCCAACAGTTGCTTGGGTAGGGGTGAGGTTTCATGTCTAACCTATCTTTCCATGCTCATATTTGATCTGACTTGGGCTTGAACAAGTCTTGTGCATGCTGTCACAACCACTGTGAATTCATATGCACAGCTGCTCTTCTGTGTCTAGAAGACATTGTTTCCTTGTAGCTGTCTTTGTTTTATTGAGGCATAATTTATATGCAATAAAATGTTCACATCTTAAACGTATAGTTTGGATAATCATTGCAACACATTCTTTTAAAACTAAACCTTATATCAAGACTCCAAAGATGGACTTTGGGAGGTGGGGGAGGAGTCATCGGATCTCTTTATTTGCTCTTCCTCCCCATGTGGCCACACTGGATATATCTTCGTTTTCTACATGCTTGGTGGCAAGTTACTTACAGGTGGGAAGGACAGATCAAAGGATTCCATGTAGCTGCTAGAATGACTTTCTTCCAGGGAGTTTTTTCCTTTTATTCTCACCTCAACCAGCATCAGATATTTTTTCACTTCTCTTTGATAAAATAGAGAAATGAACAACTGGATTTTATTTTAGACTAGAGAAAGTTTGACCTTTAATAAGTTTCTCCCCATCTTTGTACCCCAGACTTTGTCTTCACTTTCCATTGAGCTGTTTAAGTTCTCTCTGAGCCACTTTGGTGACTGGCTTGGTTTTTCTGAGCTGTTTTGATTCTGTTGGCCTATTTGGGCTATATGTTCCTTATATAACAGGCTTTGTCAACTTGAAAGGGGTTTGAGTCTGTGCTGTGCCATTGTGGGTCTACTGAGCCATTTCATACAAAGAAACAAGGTCTCTATTGTGGTTCGTGTGATGACAAATAATAAGTTTTGAGTATGTGAGATGGCTCCAAAGGTAAACACACTTGCTGCCTAGTCTGGTGACCCAAGTTTGACACCCAGAACCCACATGATAAAATGAATGAGAGAATCAAATCCCTCATGTTGTCATCTGATTTCTACACATGCAAAGTAGGATGAATGGACATTCATAAGTGCATATACCCAACATAAAATATAAGTAATTAAAATATTTAATTAAGTTTTCACTATCTTTGTTCTCTCTAGGGAGAATTTTGCCTGACCAGTCTTTTGTAAACTTTGATTTCTAAGCAGTAATGAAGACAGAAGATAGAAACAAGTTAGGCAAAATTGGAGCAAGGACACTAAAAGCAAATAATTTTAATTCTTGTCCTTGACCAGATGCAGAAGTCTTTAGTTCTATCCTGGTTAGATGCAAATAGTGTCAGACTGGAGCTAATAAAATAACTTGGAAATGCACTTGAAATAAGCAGAAGACTAAGGAATCCAGATTTTACCATTTTTCTAGTAGTAATAGATGTTACAAAGTAATGACATATTATGTCTGTACAACTAAATAGTGCTATTCCTTGGACTTATATTTTCTTAATGTTCATAATGCAGATTACATGCTGTTACCTTTTAGCTCTTTTGGTACAAACATGTAATTATGTACCTGTAAATGGAGTAGAGACTTTCTCCTTACTTGCTTTGGATTGTCCGGCAGGTATAGGATACAGGATTGATGACTCTGGTAAGCATTTACACTGGTTTCTAGGCCAAGACTGTAGAGAATTCAAGGGGTTTGCATATACTGCCTAAACAGCAGGAAAAAAATGGAGACCTCTTAGAAATTGTGTCTTTTGTGATGTTATTTATGACTTATTAAAGCTTGTTTGAGGATTCAGAAAAGCAAAGTCAGACTCAAGCTGTGGAGATCAGGCAGTGGTGATACATACCTTTAAACCCAGCAGCCAGATGCTAGGAGGTAGTAATATACACCTTTAATCCTAGGACTCAGGATTAAGAAGTAGATGGATCTCTTTGAATCTAAGGCCACCCAGATCTACACAAGATTGATCCAGTCCTAAAGAGAAACAACTCACACAAAGATGATCTTGGCACCTGGGATCACATGCCTTTCATACCAGTATTAGGGAGATATATAAGACAGGAGCAGGGTCTCAGTATTAGGCATTCATTCTTCAGCCATGTTGAGGATAGGAAGGATTCATTTTCCAGCCACATTGAGGATAGGAAGACATTCTGTCTCAGGATTCTCCAGCCATGCTGAGGAGAGGCAGCAGGATCATCCCATTCTGCCTGAGGTAGTGGCAAGAGCTAGTGGCCTGATACTTTGCTTTTCTGAATCCTCAGGCAAGCATTAATAAATCATAATATATCACCACAGTCTTTCTATCTGTGTGTTAACTTGTGCTTTGTTGTTCAGGTTGTTAGTTTTGCTTTTGGAAACAGAGTCTTATAGATTCCAGGCTGAGTTTGAGCTATGTTGATTCTCCTGATTCCAGCTCTTGAGTGCTCAGATTGCAGGGATGTGTCAGTACACCTGGTTTATAGTATGGTAAGAATCAAAACTGGGGCATTGTGTATACCAGCTACAGCCCCCAACTTTAACTATTTACATTTTGAATACCTAACTATGATAACTACCAACTATTTTGTTCTTAAAACATTACCTGTTGTTCAGGGCTGGGAATTGAACCTAGGGCCTCATGGATGGTAGGCAGGTGTTTCACCATTGAGCTTACACTTCAGAGCTGAATACTTTCAAATATGGTGTTTTATGTAATGAGGCAGATGTTATTATTATGCTTTATGAACAAAGAAAAAAAACCAAACCAGGGAACTGAAAAGATTTGCCCAGGTTCATGTTTACTAATGACTATTTCCCTTGTCAATTAAACTTGAACTTTATATTTATAATAAACATTTTTTTCTAAAAATAAGTGAAGTTTAGAACCAGGAAAGCATCCAGATCTTTTTGAACAGAAATGTCCACATAGAGTGGGAAGAAGAAAACAGTTTGGAGTAGAAGACAAGAAAGTGGAGTGATAGAGCCAAGCAGTGTATATCCTTCTCTGGCCTCTGTCCACTTGGCCATGAATGCTTAGAACCCTCCAAACATATGAAAATATCACACACATGCACACCACATGTGTGAACACCATAAAACAATAGCAAACATGCACCATAAAACAATAGCAAAACTTCCTAGAAAGGAACCCAGCACACAGAAGGTACTCTCAAAGAGCCATGTTTGAGCTTACTTAACTGAAAATCCTTCTGCACAGTGAACTGTTCAGAGTGAAGAGGTGGTCTTCAGAATGAGAAGAAATATTTTCTAACTATACATCAGACAGGAAATTGATGTATAAAATTCATAAATAACTAACAAACTGAATGAACTGAATACTTTTCAAAAGAAAAAATACAAATGGCCAGTAAATATTTGAAAAGTTGTCCAATATCCTTAGCCATCAATTAAATAAACTTAAAATCTCTTAAAATATTCCATCTTGCTGTGAAGGCCTTATTGTTAAAGACACCACTTAACATACATATCTCATTGAACATGGACAGGTGGAGCTGGTACCTAACCAGAGCCTTCACCCTCACTGAATAGTGTTCATGGTACTGGAAAATATTCTGCATGCTTCAAGAAGATAAAGGTAAATACTACCTGGCTATAAACGCTTCCATCCTTAATAGTGACTTGCCTACATGATATACTAGTGTAACAGTGACACAAAAGTTGTGGGAGTAACCAACCCACATCTGATTGGATTTTAGGCCTACTCCATGAGATGGAACCCATACCCAATGCCACTTGGGTGGACAAGAACCTGACATTACATAGCCCAAGGGGACCCGGGGGAAATCCAAATACTACTTTTCTGCTAAAGAAAAGTAGCAATAAAATGACTCCAGATGGCATACTCCTATGCCATCATAGATCAACACCTTGCTCAACCACCATCAAAGAAACTTTCTCCTGCAGTAGAAGAGAACAAATATAGAGGCCCACAACTGGACAATGTACAGAGTGAGAGTCCTTAGAACACCCAGTTCTAAATGGAATATTTCCATCAAATCCCTCCCCTCAGGGCTCAAGGAACTTTGCCATAGAAGTTGTGGAAGGAGTGTAAGAGTCAGTGGGATGGAGAACTCCATGGAAACCATATCTTCCAGACACAACAGGACAACACACACACACACACACACACACATTAATTATCTTTATTGGCTCAACAAACACACACACACACACACACACACACACACGAACCCATAGAGTCTACAGCAGCATACATACACAAGGCCTGAACAGGTACAAGCCAGATGATGGGGTCTCAGTGCTGAGAGGGGAGAGAAGTGAATATGATCTCCCATCCCTGACCAAGAGGCTATATCCAAGTGACAACTGCTCACAAAGGAAAAAGTAATTGTCTTCAAGGGAGTCTCACTGGGTATCTGAACCACACAAGAGCATACCCCATGTTCAGCAGAGTAGACAGCCAATTCAAAATGAACTCAATGGTATTTTGGGAGAGTTTTTTTTTGTTTTTTGTTTTTTGTTTTTTTTTTGTTTTTGTCTGATAATGCTTTGTCTTAGCCTTTATAAAAGATCTCTCTGGCCGGGCGTTGGTGGTGCATGCCTTTAATCCCAGCACTCGGGAGGCAGAGGCAGGTGGATCTCTGTGAGTTCGAGGCCAGCCTGGTCTCCAGAGCGAGTGCCAGGATAGGCTCCAAAGCTACACAGAGAAATCCTGTCTCGAAAAACCAAAAACAACAACAAAAAGATCTCTCTGATGTTTTGCTGATATATTATGGTTTCTGGGAGCCGGGAGAGATTCTATCTTGCCTTAGTCAGAATGTCAAATGCCAATAAAATATATTTTACAAATGCTACTGATGATGATGATGTAGGGAAAGTGGAATGCTTATACACTGTAGGTGGTATTGGAAATTATTACAGGCATGATGGACATTAATATGGAGGTTCCTCCAAAAACTAAAACTAGAGTGACTGTGTGACTGAGCTTTCCACTCCTTGGTATATACTCAAATGATGCTAAGCATGGCACACAGAGGTACGAGAACATCCATACTTATTGCTACACCACTCACAATGGCTAAGAAACAGAATCATTTAAGATACTCATCAACAAATTAAAGAAGAAAGAAAATGTGTTATATAAGCATAACGGGAATTTTGTTCATCCACGAAGAAAAAGGAAGCCATGATATTTGCAGGAAATGAATGCAATAAGAAATCTTTATGTTGCCAGGTGTTGGTGACGCATGCCTTTACTCCCAGCACTCAGGAGGCAGAGACAGATGGATCTCTGAGTTCGAGGCCAGCCTGGTCTCCAGAGCGAGTGCCAGGATAGGCTCCAAAGCTACACAGAGAAATCCTGTCTTGGAAGAAAAAATAAAGTAAGAAATCTTTATGTTAAGCAAACTAAGCCAGACTCACAAAAAATACTAATGGTTTCTCTCATATTCAGACTCTAGGTTTAAGCTGTGTATGCACACACACATACATAGCCCATAAAAGTTGAGAGGACCATGAGAAGAAAGGAAGAGATCTTAAGAGGGGAAGGTGTCTTAGTTAGGGTTACTATTGCTATGATGGAACACCATGACCAAAAAAGCAAGTTGGGGAGGAAAGGTTTTATTTGGCTTGTATTTCCATATAACTGTTCATCATTGAAGGAAGTCAAGACAGAAACTCAAACAGGGCAGGAACCTGGAGACAGGATCTCATGCAGAAGCCATGAAGTGGTGCTGCTTACTGGCTTGCTCCCCATGGCTTGCTCAGTCTGCTGTCTTATAGAACCCAGGACCACCAGCCCAGGGATGAAGCCACCCACCGTGGGCTGCGTCCTCTCTCATCAATCACTAATTACAAAAATGCCCTAGAACAGGATCTTATGGAGGCATTTTTGCAACTAAGTGTCCCTCCTTTTAGATAACTCTAGCTTGTGTCAGGTTGACATAAGAATAGCCAGCAGCACAGAAGGCTATAAGAAAAACAAAATATAAAATTACAAGAGAGTGATGGAATACATGGAATGTGACAAGCTCATAACTGACATTGTACTCTACTCAGTAGGGAATAGTTGAAGACTTTCAACATCATTAAGAAGACCATCAATCTCCACTTTCACAAGTTTTAGTCAACATAGGACTGACTAGAAGTCCCAGGCCAGAGCTATCAGGCAATGGAAAGAAATAGAGAGTATCCAAACTGGAAGGGAGATAGGTTGTTTCTGTATACATAGAGCAAGACCTTATTTATAGAAAAAAAATGATTAACTAATTCAATAAAGTGGATGATACAAAATCTACATACAAAAATTAGCCAATAAAGCTGAGAGAGAAATCAAGAAAGCCATTGTATTTATGATATCTATCTATCTATCTATCTATCTATCTATCTATCTATCTATCTATCTATCTTTCTATCTATCTCTATCTACCTTTCTCCCTCCTAGCAATTTAATCAAGGAAATAAAAGAAAGTAAAGAAGGCACATACACACCCCTGAAAGGGAAAGCATCCTATGAACATGGTTTGGAAGAATTACTAATGTTAAACTGTACATCTTGTCCACAAAAATCTATAAATTCACTTTATTTAGCTTCTAGTCAAGCCCTCCAAAGTTATATATAAAAACCCAAAATTTTATGGAATCACCAAAGCCTGATATGGCCAAAGGAATACTAAAAGAAGAGAAAAATCTGGATTAAGTAAAACAGCTAAGTCCAAAACATATCACCACATAGAGCAAAGGATTACCAGCCTACAATCCACATGGCCAGAGAAGCTAGGAAACAAGGAGGACTCTAAGAGAGGCATACATGGTCCCCTGGAGAAGGGGAAAAGGACAAGAAAGCAAAACAAAACAAAAACATATCATCAAACATGGCATGACAGCACAACTTTGGGGGTTGACTTAGGAGTATCTTGAGCCTAGAGCGGGCTGCCCAAAGAGCTCTGTCTTTCAAGAAAATGAGAGCTGTAGTGCAACTCCATTCAGAAGGCCTACCTAACAGGAGCCAGGCCCAGGTCCCCAGCATACACAAAAAGGAAGGCTTAAGCTCTATTCTACGACACAGTGAGATGACTGTAGTTATACATTTCAAAATAAGTAGCCCAGAATATTTGGAAGGTTTCTCAACATAGAGAAGTAAATGTTGGAGGTGATGGATACACTAATTATCCTGATTTGATAATTATACATTACATATGTGCATCAAAATATACATACATAACTGGATGTACTTATTATGTTCCAGTTAAGACCTTTTCAAAGAATCAGGCCCAAATAGACAGATGGATAGGTTCTTTCAAACTTTCATGCAGTAAAAATAAAATATAACCCCAAAAGAACTCATGTCAATTAACTTAAAAACAAACAAACTTTTTCAGTTGTTTAAATCATCTGGCATAGTCTTAACATCAAAGCCCATAAAGAACCTACATGCTAATCTCAGGATGTTAAGATTTTTCTATAAATATATTATATATATTATTTTATAATAAAATGCTAAATAAGATGCTAATTAACACTAAACAAACTAATACTTCAAATGAAGTATTAGGAATGCAAGACTTCTTAAGACATATGTTATTATAACTTATTCCCTTTGTGTAACTGTTTCAGTTTTCTCTTGCTTGCATGTTTGAGAAAGCATCTTCCTATGTGGCCCATACTGGCCTTGATGTTGCAATC